AATAATTAAAATTAAATAAATGTGTCCAATAGTTATAATAATAATAATGACTTTTATTAAAATGAAATGACAAATGAAAACATGAAAAAAATAATTAGAATTAACAGACAATCAAAAAACAAAGTGTTATATTAATAATAGCTTTTATTATAATTTATAGATATTTGAATCCATTTCTTTCAAAAACTTTACACAAAAACAAATCAATTTTAAACTCAACTTATCTTTTAATCATTATTTATAAATACAAATTAAAACTCATTTTTACAGTTAATTATTGTCTCATCATAATTATGAATTCACTTAACATTTTAGCACATTTTTATAAACATTTCAATCATATATCAATACATTAGAAACTCATTCAATATCTTACTCTTTATAACAATTATCTGTTTTTACAATTTGTAATAGATTTTCGTGTCTGTAAATAAAATCATGGATTACAGTCAAATTGAAAGTAGTTTTTAGAAATAAACAATAATTATTAATAATACCGTTATTTTGAAAAAATGAATAAACCCTTAAAACTCAAGGAATTCAATAATAACTTTACATTAACTCTCAAAACATGTGTTTTTCTATACATTTACAAAAATATTCAGCTCTACAAAAGTATGTTAATAAAAGAAGCCAAAGTATATTATTATATGAAAATTTGAAAATTATGTTTTGATGTAAATTTACAAAAATATACATATTATAAATTAGTCTCTTATTTTAAAGTTTGTTTAAACTCAGAGTTTTAAATACTTTTTATCATTTCGTATGAGATATTGATTTATATAAATTTAGTGTCATGTTATAGTTTAATCAAATTCATGATAAGGTTTTCATAATTTACAGGTAAAAGGGATAGACTTTTGCTAAACTTTTCAAAAACTTCAATATTTCGCTCAAAAACTCATTGAATAAGTATTTTCTTAAAATCTCTTAATAAGTGTTTAAATGGCATAACGTTCATAGAATTGAATGACTCTATCATTGCATTCATTACTCCCTTTCCTCCCTTTCCTCCTCACAAATCATTTCTACAAACAATACAACAAAATATTTAGTATTTATTAATAAAATAAGTTTTATTCATATATTTGATCCAAAACTTTCGCATAAATATAACTTTTACACTAAACTCTAAATATATGACATTGTTTTCATACAATTATTTTCTTCGGTTTCATATAATAATATACTTTTAAACTTTTAATACAAAACTACATTTAAATGTTTTTATATGTATAATATTTAATCAGAGAATAAAATTTCAAACAAATTTATCAGAGTTTTAAATACTTTTTTTATCATTTCGTATGAGATATTGATTTATATAAATTTAGTGTCATGTTATAGTTTAATAAAATTCATGATAAGGTTGTCATAATTTACAGGTAAAAGGGATAGACTTGTTGCTAAACTTTTCAAAAACTTCAATATTTCGCTCAAAAACTCATTCAATAAGTATTTTCTTAAAATCTCTTAATAAGTGTTTAAATGGCATAACGTTCATAGAATTGAATGACTCTATCATTGCATTCATTACTCCCTTTCCTCCCTTTCCTCCTCTCAAATCATTTCTACAAACAATACAACAAAATATTTAGTATTTATTAATAAAATAAGTTTTATTCATATATTTGATCCAAAACTTTCGCATAAATATAACTTTTACACTAAACTCTAAATATATGACATAAACCTAGTGTTCGTTGAGTTCGATGACGGAGACAACGGACGCATTGCTGTCGACGACATTCGACTCCTTCCACAGGAATACCCGCAGATGAAGATCAATGCGGATCCGCTCAAGAACTTAGAGCGAAAGAGACGTATGAGTTCTTGTGGTAAAGATAGTCGACATTCAAAGGGAAGTTTTGATAACTTTGGTGATGAAAAGAAGTCTTCAGCCGAAGATATTGTCAGCCATACTATACTATCAAAGAGTAGTTCTAATGAAGAACTCAATAAAAATGATTTGAATTCCAAGAATAAGATTAATCGTAACACTCATGAGTCAAACGGTAATAATTTGTCGCAGAAATTGGAGATAAAGAAAAAGAAGAAAAAACATAACAAAGAGGATCGACATCATAGGCACCATCACAACCATAAGCACCACCATTGCCGGTGAGTCCACTTGTTTGTATATACCGATAGTTATAGTTTATAAAACTATTGTAAGTTATTGTTAAGTTCTGTATAAATGTTAGCATTAATTCATTTGCTAATGATTTTGAATGATTGTTATGTTGTAGTCATCATAAGAAGTGTAAAAAGCATAAGAAATCTCGAGAAGGCAATAGTATTGGCAGCAGTGGTGTACGAAGTATTGCCAAACGGAGCACTGACAGCAATGTTAATGACAATTGTGAACAAAATGGCACTAAAAGTACAAAACTCATGACTTGGAAGACAAGTACTAAAGACATGAAATCCGTACAAAAGAGGGATTCGGACGCACAAAGAGTTTTGGACACCAATAATGTTGACAAAAATGAAGACAACAACCGGACAGAGAAGACTCACATGAGAACTATAGTGAAGAAGACGGCCAAACAAAGAGCTTTGGATCGATTGCGCACTAATTTGAGTGAAAAGATGTGTACAATAATGAGTCCCATTCGCAGAAACCTGACCACCAAAACCAACACAACCACAACAACCACTGCACCGGTACCTAAGAAAAGGGAACGCATCCCATCGGCTGAGAAAAGCAAAATCGCAGCCTTTTTGCCGGTCAGACAGTTGTGGCACTGGTCTGGCAAATGGATCCGACGCACCGGCGCTAAGGGGTCGCGAACCAGAAAAATATTTTATAAAGAGATCGAAAGGGGAAGAGAACGCATCCGAGTCGATGACTGTGCCGTCTTCTTGTCCACAGGTATGACACCACCGGTGATGACACGAGTTGTATGACTAATGAATGTGACGATTGTGTCTTCACGCATAGGTCGTCCACATCTGCCATATATCGGGCGCATAGACTCGATGTGGCAGACGGGCAGCGGAACAATGATAGTGAAGGTGCGCTGGTTCTACCACCCGGAGGAGACCAAAGGACAACCCACTCCACTCCAAGACAAACGGGTATGTCTAGCATTTGCTGATGAATCAGTGTATGGCTAACCATGCGATTGGTGTGATCTAAGGGAGCGCTGTTCGAGTCGTCCCACTTCGACGTGAATGACGTGCAGACCATTTCACACAAATGTCTGGTCATCTCATGGACCGAATACCAGGAGAGACGGACTCACAACCCATTGCTCTCATCAGCCGATGACCCGCCAAACGTCTACTACATGGCCGGCAAATACGACGCACTGGCAGGTCGTGTCGAAATGGATCCCTGCGTTCCCGTCAAAGACAAGTCAAAGGACGACAAAACAGAGAAAATAGAAAACGAGTAAATATTTGTATATTTTTGAAAAATGCAATTATTGTCACTGTTTTGAGAGATCTGTCAACTCATCACAACATACAACTCATTCATGCGATTATTTTTGGATAAAAAACATTTTTAAACGCATTGTTCGGCAGCTTTTGATAAATGGATAAAAGTGTTGAGAAAATCCTTTAATTAAATATATATTTTTGAAACAAAAAGCAAATATTGTATTAGTTTTGAAACGAATATTTCTATAAATATCTTATATTTTATCTCATGTTTAAAAGCAAAATGTTATGAAATAGGAGTGAAACACGAAATTTGCACCAATTTTATGCTTTTTATTACTTTGACTTACATTTGAATTAATGTCGAAATGATTTGAAATGATTTTGATTTCAATTTACAATTTTACTGCAAATTGTATTTATGGCAATAATACTTAGATATCATTTAGTTTAACCAATTTTAGGCTATTTTTGAAATTATGTTCAAATTGAGTTTATTATCTGTGAATATGTTTAGCAGCGTTTGATTGCCAGACAACTAGTCTTTGAAGTAATCATTCAAAAGCACACATTCTTCAGATGCAAAGCCATTGTTCACAACAACTGAACACTCAATCCAATTGTCACCCAATGAAAGGTCACTTAATCTCCAAAATTCTAATCACTTTTACATTACTTTACATTTTGAGCTCCAATTCAGACGATTTCAGTGAGATTTCATTCATTCGCTTATTTCTAATCGTTGTGAACACGGCTTTCATCTAAAGTGAGTCCCAAAAACACACCATAAGTTTCATTAATTTAATTATCAATTATTATGCAATTAATATGGAAATCAATAAAAAGACATATTGTTTAGTCATCACTTTCCCTATGCAACGATGCAATACCCGTCTCATTGCTCCATCCTATCAGTCCATCACTTGCTTCCATGTTATATGATATCTATCTCTCATTCAGGGCTAACACTCACTATCGACACAATGTCCACACGAGTCAACACTCATTACAATGCAATCCAAACACTAATTATTAAATTCAATAGTAATTACTGTTCACTCCTATACTATACTATACTATATATCAAACTACTGTATATGCTATAGAATCTATACATTCATTATGAAAAAGTATAGACAAAAACTGATTTCAATTTTCTATGGGGTTTTCAAAAAGTGTTTAAAATGTCGATATTCTCGTTATCAAAAAGTGATGAAAATTAATGATTTCTTAAACTAATATGAAATCAAAATCCCATTTAAATGACATATTAAATGACTTACACAACGCACACGAGTTTGAATATATCGATCAGAAATTCATGAAATATTTCCTAAACTTTAAAGTCTTTATCGATTAAAATATTTCTTATTTAATTTGATTCAAAAATGAATGCATTTTCACGTGTTTTTGTTGAACTGTTTTTATATCAGATTTCAATACAACAAAAATATTGTCTCATTTATATATCAGATAAAACTTATTGGAGAATAAATGCTAAAATAAAAGTATTTCTTAATATCTGTAAAATATTTATCAATAATTGATGTTTTAATACCCAAACCTATGGTTAAATCTTTTTTAATTCAATTTATAGTGTATTTCCTAAAGTTTAACAATAGTTTCAAGAATTTTGTTTAGATATTTTAATTAATTAACTTAAACCCCAAACAAAACGATTATTAAATGACAAAAAAATCTTATGATAGTTATTATAATATTATGAATAGACATATAACTTATATGAAATATCCACATCTCATTACAGCTACAGTTTTTGTCATATATTTAGAGTTTAGTGTAAAAGTTATATTTATGCGAAAGTTTTGGATCAAATATATGAATAAAACTTATTTTATTAATAAATACTAAATATTTTGTTGTATTGTTTGTAGAAATGATTTG